GCGGATGAGGCCACCCTGCACATGGCTGGATCCTCTGGCGGCTGGTGCAACTGCAACCGCATCGTTACCCCGCACGGCCGCCGCTCGTACACTCAGGCGCGAGGCTTGCCCTGGCATGCATTGCCGCTACGTCTCCTACCTACAGCTTTGCCGGGCCGTCTCCTCTGTGTCCAGTCGTTGTTTCGCTCCTATGTGTCCTGGCGGGTGGGGTGTCCTCGTTCCGTCTGTTGAGGTCGTTGTGGAGGTTGCCATTGATTAAAATACATACGTAGCACCCCGCAATTGCGGATAAGAGTGAGGGGGCGGGCGCGGGCGACGCGGGCGTCGTCGAGCAGGCGGACCTCGTGGCCCCCACCTTCCCTGTCGATGGCGCTCTCCTCCTCCTCCTCCTCCTCCTCCTCCTCCTCCTCCTCCTCCTCCTCCTCCTCTTCCTCGTCCTCGTCCTCATCGTCATCGTCATCCTTCTCCTCCACCTCGTCCTCCTCCTCCTCCTCTTCTTCCTCGTCCTCCCTCTCCCCCCCTCGTCCTTTCATCATCGTCCTCCCATTGTCGTCCTCCCCCTCATCGGCCTCCATAATCGTCCGTCCTCCCATTGTCGTCCATCATCATCATCCCCCCTCCTGGTCCCCCTGCTCCCCCTCCTCCCCCTCCTCGTCCTCCTGCTCCTCCTCCTTTTCTTTCTCCACATTATCCTTACATCCTCTCTTCTTCCGCGTTCTCCTCGTCCCCTGTTTACTCCTCCTGCCTCCCCCTCTTTTCTCAAGATAACTGCAACGCAATCCTTTCTTCCACTTTATGCTCCCCGCCTTCTCTGATCAAGGCAACTCGCCAGGGCAGAGTTGCTGGACGGGCTGGTGTGGATGCACGGGGCTTGAAGAGGTCGTTGCGGGCTCAGACGGCATGCAAAAATCCGCCGCCGCGCTTGTGCGTCATTGGTTTGTTCAGTGAACGTGGTTTAGGTCGCGGGTGGGTCGCGGGCTCTCCGCCTCCACCGGGAAGGAATGCAAAAGCAGCCCGCCGCAGGCGCCAAACAAATTACCTTGGCGACGTACCCAACCCCTGCGCAAAAACGGGGCGCAACTAGTTTAGGATACTTTATAAGGGGGCGATGGCGGAGCGAGGGTTGCATCTGTCTGCAGACGGAATTCGTGAGACTCGCAGGACACTGGCTACAGGAAAAGGGCTTGATAAAGCTGATGAGTTACAATTCCTGAGCACTCCTAGCCACTTCGAAAACGGGGATCACAGCAGGCCTCGAAAGTGGCGACAGTTTCACAGATCGTACCCCCCCAGGGATGCCGAGGTCTCATTTGGGCCCGCGCGTGGCCTCACTGTGCTGGGCCCCCCAGCAGGCCTCGAAAGTGGCGACAGTTTCACAGATCGCAGCCTCCAGGGGATGGCGAGGTCTCATTTGAATCCGCGCGTGGCCCTCACTGCGCTGGGCCCCCCAGCAGGCTTCGAAAGTGGCGACAATTTCACAGATCGCAGCCCCCAAGGGATGGCGAGGTCTCGTTTGAATATGCCCGTGGCGTAACTGTGCAGGGCCCCCCAGCAGGCCTCGAAAATGGTGACAATTTCACAGATCGCAGCCCCCCCAGAGATGGCGAGGTCTAATTTGAATCCGCGCGTGGCCCTCACTGTGCTGGGCCCCCCCAGCAGGCTTCGAACATGGCGACAGTTTCACAGATCGCACCCCCCCAGGGATGGCAAGGTCTCGTTTGAATATGCCCGTGGCGTCACGGTGCTGGGCCCCCCAGCAGGCATCGAAAATGACGACAGTTTCATCGCAGCCCCCCAGGGATGGCGAGGTCTCATTTGAATCTGCCCGTGGCCCTCACTGTGCTGGGCCCCCCAACAGGCCTCGAAAATGGCGGCAGTTTCACAGATCGCACCCCCCAGGGATGGCGAGGTCTCATTTGAATCTGCCCGTGGCGTCACTGTGCTGGGCACCCCAGCAGGCCTCGAAAATGGCGACGATTTCACAGATCGCAGCCCCCCCAGGGATGGCGAGGTCTAATTTGAATTTGCGCGGGGCCCTCACTGTGCTGGGCCCCCCAGCAGGCCTCGAAAATGGCGGCAGTTTCACAGATCGCAGCCCCCCCAGGGATGGCGAGGTCTCATTTGAATCCGCGCGTGGCCCTCACTGTGCTGGGCCCCCCAGCAGGCCTCGAAAATGGCGACAATTTCACAGATCGCACCCCCCCCAGGGATGGCGAGGTCTAGTTTGAATCTGCGCGTGGCCCTCACTGCGCTGGGCCCCCCAGCAGGCTTCGAAAGTGGCGACAATTTCGCAGATCGCAGCCCCCCAGGGATGGCGAGGTCTTATTTGAATCCGCGCGTAGCCTTCACTGTGCTGGGCCCCCCAGCAGGCCTCGAAAATGGCGACAGTTTTACAAATCGCAGCCCCCCAGGGATGGCGAGGTCTCATTTGAATCCGCGCGTGGCCCTCACTGTGCTGGGCCCCCAGCAACCACAAAGTGGCGACATTTCACATATCGCATGCCCCCCCGCAGGCACAAGACATGATGAGGCAGGGAGGGAGGGGGGAGGAGGAAGGAAGGAAGGAGGGAAACCACACTGCACTATTCAAAACGAATAATTACCCATCCGAGGAGGTGTGGGAATTGGGTTTGTACACTGAACGCGGTTTGGATCGCGGGTGGGCCGCGGATTCTCCACCGGGAACGAATGCAAAAGATGCCCGCCGCATGCGCCGAATAATGTGGTTTGTGCCCTGAACGGTTGGTCGCGGTGGGCCGCGGCTCTCCACCTGAAACGCATGCAAAAGATGCCCGCCGCAGCGCCGAAAAATGTGGTTTTTATACCCTGAAAATGGTTGGGTCGCGGTTCTGGTCGCGAGTTGTCACCGGGTGGGGTCGCGGGCTCCCCACCGAAGGAATGTAAAAAAAAGCCCGCAACACGCAGGCCCCGAAAATGTGGTTTTACCTTGATCGTGTTTGGATCGCGGGTGGGTCGCGGGAGGGTCGCGGTGGGTCGCGGGGTGGTCCGCGAGGTGGGTCGCGGGTGGGTCGCGGGGTGGGTCGTGGGGTGGGTCGCGGGGTGGGTCGATGGTGGGTCGCGGGTGGGTCGCGGGTGGGTCGCTGGGTGGGTCGCGGGGTGGGTCGCGGGGTGGGTCGCGGGTGGGTCGCGGGTGGGTCGCGGGTGGGTCGCGGGGTGGGTCGCGGGGTGAGTCGCGGGTGGGTCGCGGGGCGGGTTGCTGGTGGGACGACGACAACAAACAACAACAAACAACAACGAGAATCCGTACCGCGGAATTCCACTTCAGCCACGCACCCAGGGACAGTGAATGACCGTTCGGCCCCCTCACTCTGACCACGACTCAAGGGGTTTGCTGAGCCGCACGCCCCCACAGCAGTTGAAGTCGGCTGCTCTGGCAGCGCCCAGGTCGGTCAGCATGTGCTCTCCGCTTGAGGCGGGTACGTGAGGTGGCATCATTCTTTGCTGGTGCGCTCGTCATTTCCTCTGTCTCACGTTGCAGCTCCTGGGAGATTGAACTGAGCATTGGCTTTGAAATATGTTTGACCGAAGTCCAGCTTAAATGGGCCTGACCCCGCCCCATCCATCCTGCCTAATCTGGCCGAGTCGGGCTCAATGGTGGGCCCCATCTGGATGAGTCTGGATTGACAGCCCCTTCGATCGGGCTCAAATAGACCTTGACCATTCCCACGAAGACCTCCTACAGGGTCCCGCTTGAATAAGGAACACGTGCTTTTTAAAAGGGGCTCGGTCGTTCATTTGGTTTGCATGCGCTCCGCTACCTTTTGGCGGCGAGCCACCCTGGTGTTCCTTCGGGCTTCGTAGACCTACTTGGAAATAAATGGGCTTCGTTCCTAATTTATCGTTCCTTAGGTTCGGCCGAATACTGTATGAGCTGTCTCCTAAGCATAAAAGATCGGCGCCGCTACTCCACGGACTCTCTCCCCCGGGTGGCGACCCGAGCAACATTATTTCGAGGATATCATGATTCCGACCGTGGCGAAGAGAGGCGGGCAGCGGTATCGGCCTATATGTTGTTCTTCCGTGAACTGTTTTTCCCCAATCAGTGCTTGCACTGGAAGGGGTCCTAGCGGAAGTTGAAAGATTTGGCGAAAATTTCCCGCCGATTTTGGCAGCTGGCTAGGTTCCCGAGTTCCTGGTTCCAGGCTCCCGGGTTCCCAGTTATTAGTTCCGGGCCGATTTCGGTGGGTTCTGGGTTCCCGGGCTCTCGGGTTCCCGGTCGATCTTCTCAGCGAAAACCATCCATTGATTGAGGTTTTCTTTTGGTGTCATTTTTTCCAGTCTTACCGATGTATGAGATCGAGGTCGGCTTGGGGAGGGTAGCCTAATGTTCTTCGTGTTTGCTGCATGTTCTTGTGCATCCTGGGGGAGGGTACCCTCGGATGTTCTGTGTGTTTTGGCCGGCGGAGGGTCTGGTGCTCTTGAAGGGTGTTGTTTCAAGCAGTGGCGAAGCGTTTTGGCTCGCCTATAGCCCTACCAAACAATGTTCTAATGGCGAAGCGTTTTGGCTCGCCTATAGCCCTACCAAACAATGTTCTAAGAAACCTTTTCTGCTTTCCACGAAACGTTCTTAGAAACTGTATGGCGGAGTCTGCCTTGTTTGAACACATCGGGTTTATGTTCTAAGAACATTGTTTTTGTTTTTCGAACATTTTTGGGTCCTAAGAACATTCCGTGGTAGGACTATAGGACTGCCGGCACGGTCGGTCCCTGCTCAATTGTTGTGTCCTGGGTCCGACTGTGCCTCCTCCTCTTGGTGGTACTGCCCGTAACTATGCAGGCTCTGGCTTGCCAGTGGTGCGCAGGTGCTCAAGTCGTTAGGGGGGACGTCGTTGCATAGCCGAGTGGGCGTATCCAGCATCTCAGCCGAGAAGAAATTTCCCTCACCCCACCCTCCTCCCTCCTCTTCTCTTAGCCACGGATTCTGCCTGGTTGTTCCTTACAGGGACAGGCCCCGCAGCAGTGGGGCCCCGCGGGTATAGGCTCTTCGCGCCGTTCGGGTGCCCGATAAAGTTCAACGGCGTAAAGGCGGGATGGGTGAGCGGGCGATCATGGACAGGGAGGAGGAGGAGGGGCGAGGTGAACAGAGGGGGGATGGTCGGAGGGGATGCGGGAGGAGAAGGAACAGGAACAGGAACAGGAAGGACAGAGGGGGGCTCGTCCGGAAACAATTTAAACAAGAAAACAAGACAGCGGAACAGTTACATACGGAAGTTGGAAGAGGAAGCGGATGGAACAGGACGAGGAGGATCATGAGTGTGAGATGATGATGTTGATGATGATGTTGATGATGATGGTATTGATGATATTGGTGATGATGACGATGCTGCTGCTGATGATGGTGATGTGGAGGAGGAGGATGAGGATGAGGAGGAGAGGAAAGATGAGGAATACTAGGAGAAGGTTATGATGCTGCTGCTGATGATGCTGATGATGCTGACGACCATGACGATGATAACGATGCTGCTGATGCTGCTGATGATGCTGATGATGCTGATCATGATGATGCCGATGCCGACGAAATGATGATGATGATGATGATGATGATGATGATGATGATGATGATGATGATGATGATGATGATGATGATGATGATGATGATGATGATGAGTATGATGATGCTGCTGATGATGATGCTGATGTTGATGATGGTGATGGTGATTGTGATGAGGATGATGATCTGGATGCGGATGATGATGATGATGATGATGATGATGATGATGATGATGATGATGATGATGATGATGATGATGATGATGATGATGATGCTGATGCTGAATGCTGATGCTGATGCTGATGCTGATGCTGATGATATAGCTGATGATGACGATGATGATGATGATGATGAAGATGATGATGATGATGATGATGATGATGATGATGATGATGATGATGATGATGATGATGATGATGATGATGATGATGATGATGTTAGAAGGAGCGCGTTCTGTGGTCGCTTGGAGGGGGGGGTGGAACCAGAGACCCCCCCCCTGGATGGAGGGGGGGGGATTTCCACCCCCCCCCCCCTCTCGTGACGGAGGGGGGGGGTTCGAACACCCCCCCCCATCCCTCCCCTCCTCTATTTCTCTTCTCTTCCTCTTCTCGTGCCCACGCTTGCGTCGGCGGCGGCTGGCAGCGGCGGCGGCGACGACGACTTCTTTTTCTGGGCCGGCGCTGGCGCCTACGGCGGCGGGTGGCGGCGGTAGGGAGCAGTCGACGAGGACGACTGCGACGACGACGACGACGACGCTCCGCCACCGTGCCTTGGCTTTGGGTCAGAGTCCTAATGGATGCCTCTTGGGGTCTAGTCGGAGGGCTCTCGGGGGCCTCTGAAGGGCATTTGTGCAGCCTCCTGGGCGCCTCTTGGGCGTCTTTTGGGGCCTCTCTGGGGTAGTGGTGGTGGTGGTGGTGGTGGGCTGTGGTGGTCGTGGTGGTGGTGGTGGTGGTGGTTGTGGCGGTGGTGGTGGTGATGGTGGTGGTGGTGGTGTGCTCGGTGGTGGTGGCGGTTGTGGTGGTCGTTGACGTGGTTGTGGTGGCAGGTTGTGGTGGTGGCGGTTGTGGTGGCGGTGGTGGTGGTGGTGGTGGTTGTGGTGGTGGTGGCGAGGTGGTGGTTAGGTGGTGGTGTGTTGGTGGTTTGTGGTGGTGGTGGTGGTGGTGGTGGGGTCGTGCGCTGGTAGCGGCGCTGGTGGTGGTGGTGGGTGATGGGTGGTGGGTGGTAGTGGTGGTGGTGCGGTGGTGGTGGTGTGGTGGTTGTGGTGGTGGTGGTGGTGGCGGTGTTGGTGGGTTGTGGGGGGGTGGTTGTGGTGGTGGTGGTGGTGGTTGCGGTGGTGGTCGTGGAGTGGTGCGTGGTGGTGGTGGTGGCGTGGTGGTGGTGGGTGGTGGTGGTTGTTTGTGGTGGTGGTGGTGGTGCTGCTGCTGGTAGTGGTGATGGTTGTGGTGTGTGGTGGTGGTGGTGGTGGTGTGGTGTTGTTTGGTGGTGGTGAGTTGTGGTGGTTGTGGTTGTGGTGGTGGTGGTGGTGGTGGCTGTGGTGGTGGTGGTGGTTGTGTGCTGGGTTGGTGATGGTGGTGGTGGCGGGTTGAGATGGTGGTGGTGGTGGTGTTAGTGGTGGTTGCGGTGGTGGCGGTGGTGGCGTGGTAGTCTTGGGTGCTGGCGGTGGTTCTGGTGGTGGTGGCCTGTGGTGTTGGTGGTGGTGGTGCTGCTGCTGCTGGTAGCGGCGCTGGTGGTGGTGGTGGGTGGGTGGTGGTGGTGGTGTTTGTGGTGGTTGTGATGGTGGTGGTGTGGTGGTGGTGGTGGGTTGATGGTTGTGGTTGTGGCGGTGTTGCTGGTGGTGTTGGTAACGGTGTGGTGATGTGTGGTGATGGTGGTGGTAATGGTGTGATGGTGGTGGTGCCCTCTCTGGTAATCGTCGCTGCGTCCCCGCCGTCGGCGCTGCTGGCCGCCGCCAGCGCCAGCGCGTGCGCTGGCGCGGGGGGGGGGGGGGGGGTGGACCCCCCCCCACTTTAAGGGTAGCTCTTTGAGAGATGTTATAGTATCGGGAGCATAGCTCGCGCGCCGTTGCCTTTGGCTCAAGGCACGCGCGCCCTATTTGCCCGGACACCGCGAGTGTTCGCTATGTGCTGGAAAGATCATTACATCGATCTTATCCTATCTTATCCGTCCATCCCTCTTACTGAACAGCCTCAGTACGATACCGGACGCTATTTGCCATCCGCTTCCCATGGAATCGGATGCTATTTGAGTTACCAGGCTCACTTTCGACTTGGTAGCGGAGCTGGCCGCACTCTCGTGTGGTCAGCTCTTGCTCTTCTTAGCCTCATACTCTTCGGCACGATCTTCGTGACCACCTACCACCCTGCGCTATCACTCCCAGTACGTTTACGAGGATGTATCCAAGAGCAAGAAGCGACACGAGAGGTACGACGTCTAGACAATGATATTGGTACCATATACGCTTCATCATTGCGCTACTACCAAACGCTCGGCAACGAGCCAAAAGCGCAATACCTGAAGCATGGGCGGAGAGATCCGCCAGATAGAGCGCCTCGAAGACTCGACAAGGCGCTACCCCAGCGCGGCAACGCGCCTAATAACCACCCCTATCTACACAGCCTTGGGCTGGTTATCTTCGCTATCATATGGTTCGCGCTGGGGGCAGCAATCGGACACATGCGTCGTGGAGACAACAGCACCGATGGGCAAACACATGGCCATATTGGGACCCTCAAGGCAACGTACCTTTCCGCGAGTACGTTTATGAGGTCAACGCATGGCTCAACGTCACAAGCGGACGCATGACGCCACAGGCCCAAGCGGCCGCCATACAACGCGGCCTGGGTGGCCTAGCGAGGACACTCGCCATGAGGGTACCGCCTGACATCATAAATTATGGTGCTGACATCGATGGGGTCCACACCGACCCAGTGACCTACATCATGTTCCTCCTAAGCATGAAGTTCGAGCGCCTGGAAGATGAGCGCCAGCTCACTTCCGGCACACAACTCATCGACTTCCACGTGCCTCACGGGGAACGAATCGATGTCACCCTTACCCGATTCGAAATGGCCCGACTTGAGGCACAGTCGGTGGGATTTGACCTTCCCAACTTCCAACTACTAACCACGATCCTGTTCCGCGCCTTAGGCGTCGGCAACCAGCGAGCCATGCAACTCTTACAGCCACTCAATCACCAAATGCCCCGAACACAACAACAGTATGATGAGTTGCTGGAGAGGATGCGTTCGATAGGCCACCTATCTGAACGGTCTCCTGGTAATATAGGATCTGTGTTTGGAAGGGGAAGGGGATCTGGTAGTGGAAATTTCTACACTACCTTGACTACTGAAGCCCAGCCTGGAACGGGCCCTCAAGCATATGGGCCGATGATCCTGGAGAATCCACTGCTCTACTAGCAGGAGATCGATCACAACCAAGCTGGGCAACCAGCCCTCCTTCTAGAGAACCACAACCACACCGTTCCTTATGGGGTGAATCAAACCCCCTAACCGACGGTGTATCCACCTACTTGGGAGACGAGGATTTCGACTCCGGCACCGACACAGATACTATATCATCAGACGGTGTTGAAGCTTTAGATTGGTCAGATATTATGAATATGGATAATGACAATCAGCGTGCTGAACATTTGTTCTGGTTATTACAACAGGCCAAACGGAGGTGGAGGAGGTTCACACGAAAACCAGTGCGTCGTGTTAGGAGGAGGATACGGAGGAGTTTTAAGGGAAAAGGTAAAGGTAAACGAGGTCGTCGGAGGTTGAACGGACGAGGCATCACGGCATTTCTCCAGAGGCTCTCAGATGAACAACATGATGAGATATTCTTTGGGGGAAAGGGCCGTGGCAAGGGCCGTAGAGAGACCTCAGGAAAAGGCAAGGGTAGGCGGGGGAACCCGCGAGGTAGAGACGGCCAGGTTCTTAAATGCCATGAATGCGACAGTACCGACCATCTTGTGCGAGATTGTCCAGCGAAGGGAAATGGAAAGGGCAGGTCGACCGAAGTCCATTTTGGCTCAAGTGAACCATTCATCGAATATCTGAGCCTCCAGGATTTTGAGGCCATGGAACAGATATTTTACACTTGGGTCAGCTGCATGGACAACGTCGACGAACTCGAGGCGTATGGTCATGGATTGTACGCGTACTACCTCGAGTACGTCCGCCGGTTCGTTATTGGCAACAACGAGCTTACTCCCGTGGATCACGGTACGCTGGGAAACCAGCCTCTTTCTTTCTTCGACTGGATGTTCGGGAACCCAGGCAACATCATGGCTTACGAAAGCAGTGACGAGGACATCACTGTGGAGGCCTCGCCTTCCGAGGTTGAACGCAACCTCCATACTCCACCTGAACTCCCGCCTGGAAACAGGCCTACCTTGATGGGAGACTATCCCCAAACTGATGAAGACCTAATATATATATATATATATGGAGTCTCAGGCGTTCGTTCAAGCTTTCATTGCAGGTGAACCAGAAATCCCATTTGTACCCCCTGGTTCGCTTGCTCCAGGCGAAT